AAAAAACGGAGAAATGAGAAGAATGATGATGAAATGGGAGAACGAAGAGGAGAAGAGTGCACACAAATTCAATTTTCCATTCGTATATAGGCAAAAAACAAAAAGAATGAGATTTCTAGTTAGGCAAAGAGAATTTGGAGCGTGTTTTTTGTACTAAAGAAGAAGAAGGAATTTTCTGGAACTTCCGGTTGCTATGGTCTCCGAAATTCAAAAAAGAGTAAATAAACCTTAGAACTTTCTTATATCAATTCAAATTTCCCATTCCCATTCCCATGATCGGTCAGTTCGGTTGGCTGTCGGTCGGCGGGGTCGGTGGTCGGTCGGTCGGCTAAATTTCCCGACCGAATGGAAGCCCTATGTTAGAGATCCACTTCATAAGTAGGCCCCCAATAAATTGAAAAATGTAGACGTAAAATGTTGTTCTTGAAATAGGAAATTTTCGAATAAATTATTATAAGGAAGGTTAGCGAATGAACTTTATCATAATCAGGACTACCGTAAAACCTGTAATAGCAGAGCCCCCTATTTTTTACTTTGAGCCAATTCATCGGTTCCTGTCGAAGATATAAAAAAGTTGTCAACTGATAAATTGTTGATCTTAATATCAGAAATGATCAATCAGTTGACACTTTTTTGATACCTTACACAGAAATTGAGATAATTGAGCTGAAACTTGACATTACAGGTTACGGTATTTTCACATTAAGGTTACTGGAACCAGCAGGATTAAGACCCTAACTTTTAGTGACCCTATTTAGTCATTTTGTGTTTTTAACGGAAACAAAAGTTTTCCGGTTTCATGAACAATACTTTGAAGTTTGGAAAAATATGTATATGTCAATCTGCTTTCATAGTTTACTAGACAACCTGAAGACGTACGAATTTACATGTTTTCGTAGATTGTATAAAACTCGAATTAAAAATAATTGGATGCGGAAAAAGATTTCAAATTTTTCTTCATGATCCCATTGGAAAAATTGAACCGAGAGGCTTACCGTAAAACCTGTAATAGAAGAACCCTCCCATAGCCAAGTTTGAGCTAATTTTTTTAGCTTCTGTGCAAGATATCAATAAAGTGTCAACTGATAAAATGTTTATGATATTGTGATAAATAATTTGTCAGTTGTCCACTTTTCATATTTTTCACAGGACCCGATAGAAATCGACTCAAATTTGAAAGTTAGGAGTCCTTCGTATACAGATTTTACGGTACTCAATTTGTTTTTGTTTTAAACCTGAAAACAAATTTTTCAGTTTCATGAATAAATTTAGATAGTTTAAAAAAATATTCATAGCTGATCTCTCTCTGAGTTTTGAATTTCGAAATCTTTCCCCGGCTTCAACTTTTCGGTTTCGTGATAAAAAGTCCTAAATTTTCTAATTTCGAAATCTTTCCCATTTCCCTATTTTTCGGTTTCAATGTTAAAAACGTACAGTATCCATGCTTCTCCACCGTTCCCTCTTTCAAGTTTTTCTCTCGATCCGACTCCTTCAGCTAATTCTTTCTCTTTTATTATCTAACTCCCCCATCAAAATCTCATCTATTTTTTCATGTTTCCTTTGAAAACAAAAAAGAAGCTATAACAATAAATACTAATAGACACTAGATGTATTCCAATTAAGAATTGGGAGCCAAAACGGAAGAAATAGGCCTCACTATGTTTCTGATTAGCTCCTCTATTCTTCTTCTTCTTCTTTCTTTATTATTTAGTTTCTGACTATATAGTTGGTGTTCTTATGTCTAGAAAGTGGTTACTGGAAATTTTACTGTAGGGAAGTTGTGTGGGCAATGAAATTTTATATTTCCTGGTAATCTAAAAAAAGAAACGAACGCTGTTGTCTGTTGTTGATAAGGGTCTGATTGATACGTTAGCTCACTGCCCAAAGTTGTCTGTAATTTAAATATCATCTCCTTGAAACAGTAAAAATGTTCACAACAATTTTGAATTTTCAATTTCGTAACGTTATGCGTTCATGAACAGTTCCGTTTACTGACTCATTCTGGAATCGGAAATTTCGAAATTCCAGAATTTTCTAAATCTCGTCTTTAACATTCTGTCAAAAATTTCGGTGTTTTTTTAATGAAAAATAGGGACATTTGTCCTGATAAGTAAAAAATGCTCCTTACTATTAGTTTGCTACCTTAATAGTTATTATCCTTTAACGTAATTTTAATTGCTCCAATGTCTTAATTGTTAATTATCTTAATTGCTCCAATAGAACACCACACTATACTTGCCCTTGAGCTCAATTTTTCTCGGTTCCTGTCAAAGGTATTCAAAAAATGTCAACTGATAAAATTTTTATCACAATAGCAGAAACAATTTATCAGTTCACACATTTTTAATATCTTGAACAGAAAATGAGGTAATTGAGCTTAAAGTGCAAGCTTAGAAAGATCTTATATTGGAGCACTAAAGCGGTAATTACTCATTTTTCATTGAACCCACAACTTTATTTTAACTTTCCACCTGGAAAATATTTGCTCCCTGAACTCTCTATTCCCCTAATTACATGTAGATCTTTTCGATTTCAGGCGACTTCTTCTTTTCTCGTTATACTTGCTATTTCAGTCTTTCTCGTGTCTGTTTTAACTGAGAAGAAATGAGAGCAGATGTCTCTCTATTGAATAATTGATTATCGTTTCCTCCACTCCTCGAAGCACCATCTTCATTTGACTTGTTCCCTTCGTGATATTCCTCTTCTCCTTTTCCTTTTACTTCTTCTTTTTTTTCGAATCGAACCCTATTCTAACTCTTATAGGACATCTCTATTCGGGAATAATCGTCCCGAAAATGATTCCCCCATAAGGAAATGTAAAGTATGTACTACTCGTTTGTCTTCTCTCCCAAAAACAAAACATTCCCGTTTTTTCGGTGAGCATTCGATGGCCAATTACCGAACCAATCTGCTTTCGGATTGGTTTCCAGAAGACTCGAAAAAAAAAGAACGTCATCTTTTTTTTTCACGGCATACCAATTGGATTGGGAGAGAAGCCTAAAATTCGATGAAATGAAATGAGATGACGTGAAAGTTTTGGAGAAGTCAGGAATTGCAAATTAATGACATTTTTTGGGGGATTAGAACTTTGATTGGTGGATCTTCCAAGGGATTTTTCTTGAAGTTTGAATTTTAAAGGGGGACTCCGACCAAAAATTTTTATTGCATTAAAATGTGTTAAAAGTTATCTATTTTCCGAATATTATTGTGAAAAAATTCAAAAAAAATCCGAAATTCCCAAAAAACGCCGTTGAACAGGAAGAAAATTCAAAAAAAGGTGCCGCCGGGGGACGAGGATTTTCAGTGAGAAACCTAGGCCACGGCAGCGGGCGCCTTTCCTACGTGGCAAGTTTTCCGGATTTTTTCAATTTCATGTCCGGCAGGTAAAAAACGTAAAAAAACCACTGTCGGCCAACTGAAAAAAACGGCTGTCAGGTGTCGTGGCCTAGGTTTCTCATTGAAAATCCTCGTCCCCCGGCGGCACCTTTTTTTGAATTTTCTTCTTTTTCAACGCCGTTTTTCGGGGATTTCGGATTTTCTTTGAATTTTTTCGCAATAATATTTGAAAAATAGATAAATTTTAACACATTTTAATGCAATAAAAATTTCTGGTCGGAGTCCCCCAAACATTTTAACAGTGTCGCTTACCGTAAAAACCTGTAATAGAAGATCCCCTAACTTAAAAGTCATTTTACTCTATTTCTGTCAGAGATATGAAAAGTTTTCAACTGATAAATTGATAATCGTAATATCAGAAATGTTTTGTCAGTTTACACGTTTTTGATAAATTGCATAGTAGACAAGAAAAATTAGCTCAAAGTTGACAGTGGACTCTTCTGTCAAAGGTAGACAATGTGGGAGCCCTTCTATTAAAGGTATTACGGTAATTCGATTTTTTCAACTGTGACTCTCATGCTGTCCACATGGATATGGTTCATTCTGTGCTTAATCAGTAGAAAAAGGAAGTGTTCGGTTTAAGTGGAAATACAGTTCTGTAAAACATGAAACAGAAAATTATTCTATAACGAAATTTGCACTTCAGCTGGCGCCAGACAAACTGGAATGTTTTATTAATTAGATGAAAGATTTCCGCGTTTCTGAAATTCCAGATTTTTCCCTGAGGTTTTTTTTTCAAATTCAATCATCGAATTTTGCAAAGATGCTCATTAAATACTGCGATGAAATACCGCAGACCCTGTAATGGAAGAGCCATCACATTTCCAAGTTTGAGCTCAATTATCTCAATTCCTATGCAAGATATCAGAAAGGTGTCAACTGTCAAAATGTTTGCCATAATATCACAAACATTTTATCAGTTTACACATTTTTGATATCTTTCATGGAAATTGAGATAATTGAGCTCAAACCAAGTACAGGGTGGCCATCTAAGCTATTTCGATAAAATAACGTTCCCAATACTTTATCTGTCTATAGTAAGGTTATAATGGCGTATTTGAAGTATTACGGTAGAGAAGAAATCCTGGAGTGGGCTTTAACATAATTTTGATTGTCTCTATATTAGACTTTGAGCCAAATTTGAGCACACGTTTCATTTCAAAAATCAAAAAATTGTACAGTTTCAAAAATATGAATGTAGGGTTTATTGTATCACTTGAGCTGATAAATACTTTCTTGCTACCCTGACATTGTCCCCTTCAAGATCTTGTCGATTTCTGTCTGCCTTCAATGTGTTCTTCTTAAAATTCTCGTTCTTTATTCTTTTATTCATTCTGAAAATCTTCTTCAGATTCCTCTTGTCCATTGTTGCCACCTTTTATGTTGTGTTCTCTTTTTTGCGCCATTTCGAACGAACATAGCTCTCGGAAGCCTGGCAGCAACACACACCCTCTCCTCTTATTTTCTCACTTTTTCCTAGGATTCTGGATTTTCTTATTCTGTGTTGCGTCTTTTTCTTCCTCCCCTCCCGTCCTTATCTCGCCTCTAAAAAACCCAATTGTGGCCGCGGCCACCGTAATTCAATTGTCAAAAGCATGTGTACACGAAAAAATATATTCCTCTCTCTCTCTCATTTTATGTTCCTTAGTGTCCTCTTTTTCTTCTTTGAACAATGCGAAAAGGGTTCAGAGAGAAAAAAGAAGATCCCGACTAAATCTCTGACCTTCTTCTACTTCATCCTTTTTACTCGCAATTTTTTTCGAAGAGAGATAGAGAAGAAAAAAGAAAGGAGGAGATGATTACCTCAGAGTGAATGAAAAGAAAAAAGAAGAAGGCACTGAAAGGGATGGATACTAGTAAAAAAAAGATAGAGAGGAGCATAGGGGATGCTTCTTCTTCTACTCCTTCAGGCTCCACCCTTTTCTCCATGTGCTCCAGCCATTCTCCAAAGAAGAAGAAGAAGAGGTGCTCTGCACAGAGCAGCTTCTCACCTCTTCAAACAAACTTTTTCGCTCCTTCAACGTCTTCTAAGGAGAAAAGAAGGCGTGGCGTCCTTCGCTCTTCCAACCAACACCATTTTCTTCGTCCAATATTCCTTCTTCTTCTTTGTCCTGTCTTCGTCGTGGTCTTTCTCGTCATTTCCCCTTTCTCCTTGAATCCTTTCTTCACATATTCATCCTCGAAAAATGACGTTGACAACCACTTCGATGCTCAGGTCAACTAGTATTCCAGTCAAACCCGTACCCCCTTCACAACAGTTCGAACCCGAACCCACCTCATCCACTTCTACGAATACAGTGACGTCACGAAGATCATCGGGTGGCGGTAGTGGCCAAGGGCTGGCCAGCAAAAAACCGCCCAACATGCATATTAATATACCAGCAGGTACTGTAGTCTTCGGCGGTACTGTAGTACTGTAGAAGGTTCGCCGAGTCAGAAAATATAGAAACGGAAATTCAAATTTCGGTATCCATGGCGACTAAACTCGCGAAACTATGTATTTAATCTGATGAAGACTGTAAAACGGGGTAAGTACGAAAACATTGGAATCACAAGTTTCAAGTATGACAAAACTAGCTGTATTGAAAAAAACTGAAAATTTTTAACAATTTATATACACCTTGAAACGGCAATTTTTCAAAAAATCAAAATTTTAGATAGTGCTGGATTACTTTTTAAATATTTTCCGGGTTTTGTTTTATACTTATTCTTAAAATATAGGGACATGGAAAAGCCTCAATTCCAAACAAAGAGACAACGGTATATGACTTCTGAAATATACTAAACGAAACAGAAAAAAATCCAAGTCTCCATATCTTCTCGAATCTCATCCCTAAACATTTCCCATTTTTTCAGATGAAGGCGCCGAGCGGATACCCCTATGCGAGCAGCATTCGCCTCTGGCACTTTATGAGGTAACTTTTTTATTTCTGTCACTTTTTTGCAGTTTTTTTTTTCCATTTCCAAAATACTTATTGCGCCTCCCGTTTGTGCTCCTCCGAGTTGAGGAGCCCACGAGGATAAAGACGAGAAAAAAGTAGTGTAATACAACGGGAAGGCTCTTTTTTTCAAGTGTTGTTATGTGTCTATTCTGTCACATTTCTGTCGTTTTGACGACTTGGTGAAAACGGAAAACTTGAAAGTAGGGAAAAGGAACAAGGTCAAGAGTCAGGACGGACCTGTCCAGACGAATTTGGGATACTTTTTTGATAGGTGACGTAGATACTAATAGACTCTTTTAGATTTGCAAACAACTCCATCCACCTGAATAGGTTTTTTCTCCATCCTCTGAAATGCGATCTCATTTCCCCCGTCACCACCTATTTCCTATTTGTTTTTGTTTTTAGCGGTCCCACAGAGAGTGTGCGGATAACCCAAATATCCCTTTTGTCTCTATTTCTCTGATCTGATGGGTACTAGCTCAGACGTTTTTTGTTTGCTAACACGTAGTGACAGGAGCCGGACAAAGTTGATGTGCGTCAGAAACTGGAAACGGTTATCCGGGCAGATGTATGAATGTCAAATCCACTGAAATTGATTTTTGTGACCTCAAAAGTGAAGATGAACAAACAGTAAAAATTTGTTGGTAGAATAACTATAGGCAATTTTTGAAAATAGAACGAAATTATAAAAATAGTGCGAAGATAAAGGTGGTGTACGGTGAAATTTTTTATTGCATCAAAATGTGCAGAAATGCAAATAGATTGACATAAAAATAAAGAAAAAATTCAAAAAAAAGTCCTTCATCGAGAAAAACGCAACGAAAAATACGCTGAACCTTAGGGACGAGATGTTTTTCTAGGCCGCCCGGTGAGTAAAAGCGCGCAAATTCGAACTTTTAAAATTTTTTCTCTCGTTTTCACTTTTTTTTCGGTTTTTTCAAGAGTTTTCTAGGTTTTTGTCAATTTTTCTTCCAGGTATATCGTAAAATTTGAAAAAAAAACAGTGAAAACGAGCGAAAAAATTTTAAAAGTTCGAATTCGCGCGCTTTTACTCACCGGGCGGCCTAGAAAAAACCTCGTCCCTAAGGGCTTTCAGCGTATTTTTCGATGCGTTTTTCTCGATGAAGGAATTTTTTAAAATTTTTTCTTTATTTTTATGTCTATCTACATGCATTTCTGCACATTTTGATGCAACAAAAAATTTCACTGTACACCACCTTTGAGCAAAATGATCGTTTTGATGGGTGAGAAAAATCTAGGACCACATTCTAATTTTCGTTAAAATGGTCTGAAACACCTTCAAAATGAGATTTTGAATTTTTTGGTTCTGGTTTGGAATAGTAATCATTTTGAGGTAAAATTGAATCAGCTAAATATTTTGAAACCGGAACATCATTGAGCCCACCAAATTTTCGGAAGTGTTTCATCAATTTTTGGGAACAGTAATTTTAATTTCCATGAGTCTAGTTTATCAGGCTTGGTGAATTGGAAATAGAAGTGTGTCTAAATTTGTTTAATAAGAAAATCTTGAATTTTCAAACAGCTTAATGAAAAATCAATTTTCAGATAAGCTGTAACATGAAATTTATGAAACTGTAAATTCTAATATCCACATTCTAGTTTTTGAAAATCTGTCTGAAAAGAGACCTTTGAATCAGATGTGTGCGTTTTTGTTACCGATTTTGAAATAGATGGGATTTTGTGGCGACATGTAATTCTCCAGGTTTCGCTTTTTTTCTCGAAATTGTTGAATATTTCTGGAGGTGAACTGTACCAATTTCAACTCCTGTATTCCGTTAGAGATATGTGAATTCAAACTGGAAATGTGGAAACCGCGAGCCCATCGATTCCACTTACTTTTCTTAAACCTATAACATGTATCGGAAACAGTATTTCCAGTTTCAATAAAAATAAGTTCAGTCTATTAGACTTAACCAATTTTCTCCAGTTACCATAAAACCTGTAATAGAAGGGTCTCCACAGTGCCAAGTTTGAGCTCAATTATCTCAATTCCCATGCAAGATATCAAACATATGTGAATTGATGAAACGTTTTCAAAACTATGATACACGATTTATCAGTTGATTACATATTTTCGACAAAAACCGAGAAACATCGGCTCAAAGTTAAAAGTTAGGAGCTCTTCCATTACAGGTTTTACGGTATGTGTTCATTTCACGAACAAATCCTTTCAATAGACTTATTCGCTATAAATTAAATTTATGAAACTGTAAATTCTAGGTACCCTCCCTTAAGGGTACAACCTGATCCTTTTTTCTTTTCCATGTTTTTTGACGTCATCGCTTCTCCATGAAAGTGTCAATGACCATTTTGCACTGAGAGGGTAGTCAAGAGTAAAACAGATGTGCTTTTTCTGCCTATGAGCACAGCACTCTCGACTCTTCTCGCCCAAAAAAAAGTGTCCGATTACAAACGATCCAGAAGTTTTCCCTCTCGTTGCACATAGGTTATTTTGAGAGAGATAGAGCGAATAGGTCAGGGATTGACATGATTTTTCATTTTATTTATTTTATTTATTTCAGCAAGACTATGACACACAAGGACAAAAAATCGGTACGATGCTCAGGAAGTTGTCGGTGTACAATGCGACGGAGGCGACGAGTGTGGAAGCAGATGAAAAACCTAAAGCTGTAAGTTCTGGTTTACAGTTTTATAGTATACGGAGTAACTCGTTTTCTTGTTACTGAGAAAATAAAAATACAGAAACAGCAAAAAAAAGTCAGCAATCATCCTAAACCCAAAAGCTTGATTGACGACGTGGGACTCTAATTCCTTTCATTGGCTCCAAAAGTCTTTTTGCGCTTTTTTTGGGGTACAAGTAGCCCTTCTCTAGCCTAATCCACTCATCAATCAAGGATCACTTGAGGAGCAAAAAATAAGAGCAAGGAGAAAGAAACACAGTAATCCTTTTTGGTGACATCGGAAAAGAGTCTAAGTACTTTTTGAAGAATCGGGAGGGATTAGAAGATGTGGAGACGAAAGTTGCGAAAGGGAAAAGAGTTTTTGAAGGAAATGTTTGAACTTTGAAGTTTGGAAGGTTGAAATGAAGTGGATAGGGGAACTGAGAAAAGTTGAGCTAAACGAAAAAATTTTTTGTGTGATCTATGTTTTAGAAGGTCTAGAAGATAATGCATTTCGGATGTCTGTCCAGAATTTTTGACGAATGCCGATTCTGAATAATGATTGTTGTACATGAGACAGGTTTTGAAAAGGCGCTTAAATCAATAAATGTAACCGCTAGATTTGAAAAAATTACAGACATGACGAAACCGTAAAACCTGCGATAGAAGGGTCACATACTGTCAAGTTTGAGCTAATTTTTCTTTGGTTCTATGCAAGATATCAAAAAAGTGTCAACTGATAAAATGTTTGTGATATTATGAAAAACAATTTATCAGTTGACAAATTTCTTTTATCTTTGACACTACCAGAGATGAATTGGCTCAAAGTTAGGTTGAAGTTTTTGGAGATCATGAAACAGACCTAGATTGAAAACTTTGCATTCACAGAATTTTTAAAAAATTTTCTAGTTTTTAAAATGCAGGTATCTCTCAGAAATCGGCGAATAGCTGAAAAACTAGTAGTTTTCAAAAAAATACTGGGATGCAATGTTTTCAATCTAGGTCTGTTTCATGATCTCAAAAATTTTAAAGCGATGAGATACTTGACACCCAAGCTCTACTCCTGAAAATGATTTTTTATATCTTATGGACAGGTACTGTACATCATTTCGGACAGCTTTCAAAGGTTTTTAAGAAAGATATTCCAAACAAATTAGTGTTCCACAAGTTGTTTTTTTTTTCTGTTTCTGTAAATCTATACTTTCACTTTCAAACTTTCGTGATTACTCGATAAATAGTTTCAAATATACCAACAAAAAAAGGTCCATAGTCCAAAACCCAATTTATTTTTTTCTTCTGCAAAATGCCTACGTCACAAGACCACCCTCAACTCCATCACATCACCACACCGTAAACGTAATGAGAATGCAAATCATTCTAGAAGAATCGGTCCCAACTCCCTGAAGGCACCTCACAAACCCTCCCACCAAATTCAATCCCATTTCATTTCCGGGGGACCTTCTTTTTTTTCTTTTTTCCTTCGCCTTCTAAATCTAAACCTGTTTATTTAAAAGGAAGAAGAAAAAAGAAGAGGAAAAATGGGAATAATATGAAAACAGACAAAAAAGAAATACAAAAAAAGTAGAAAACACACATCTGTACATCTTTTCTGAAGGACCTTTTATTTTTTTCAGGCGGCCGCAAAAATGGGGACCATCATGGGAGTGTTCCTTCCGTGTCTTCAGAATATTTTTGGAGTGTTGTTCTTCATTCGATTGGCATGGATTATTGGAACCGCCGGAATATTTCAAGCGTTTTTTGTGGTGCTCACTTGCGTTTCTGTGGTAGGTTTTTTTATGGAAACAAGAAGGAATAATTGTGGGAATCGGAATGGGAACGATATTTGGAACAGTAAAAGAGTTCTTGGGATTTCAGACATTCCTCACCTCGATCTCCCTCTCAGCCATTGCCACAAACGGCGTAGTACCCTCTGGTGGTCCCTATTACATGATATCCCGAAATCTTGGACCAGAACTCGGAGGTGCTGTTGGAATTCTGTTCTACCTTGGAACAACAATCGCCGCTTCTATGTACATCACAGGCGCCATTGAAATCCTTCTCCTCTACATCTATCCACAAGCGAAACTGTTCGATGACATCTACCACAACTATCGAGTACTTGGAACCATCTTCTCCTGATTCTCGGTCTGATTGTGATGGCTGGAGTGAAGTTTGTGAACCGATGTGCTCTTCCATTGGTTATCGTTGTTATCTTCTGCATTCTCTCTGCAATTCTTGGAGTTTTTGTGAGATACGATGGAAGTGATTCGTTGAAGTTCTGTATGGTTGGAGATCGGCCAGTGGATTTGACATCTTACTATGAGAAGACCAAATTCGTTCCGAATTGTACGACTGAAGGACTCAGAGATCTTTTCTGCAGTGCCAATGGAACATGTGATCACTACTATGACAGAGTAAGTTTTACCAATAATTTATGTTTCAACAATTTTTGAAATTCTTGTGCAAATCACAGTAGCATTCCTAATCCTGCATCGACAAATATTTTCAGATGAAAGACATCAAAGTGTGGAAAGCATCTGGAATGCCAGCCATCCGTGAAGAACGTGCCATCAAGGGAATCGCTTCTGGAGTATTCTTTGATAATCTCTGGCCTAAATATCTTCGTGGTGGAGAAGTTCTTTCAAAGGATAGAAAAGACAAAGGAGATCTGAATCGTGGTGGACATCCATCGTACATCTACGCAGAATCTGTCACGAATTTCATGATTCTTGTTGGTGTATTCTTCCCATCTGCAACTGGAATTATGGCTGGATCAAATCGATCTGGTAATCTGAGAGATGCAGCAAAATCGATTCCGTTGGGTACACTGGCAGCTCAGAACTTCTCTTCGTTTATTTGTGAGTATTCAGGATCAGTACCGTTCTCAAAAAATATTTTTCAGATCTTCTCGGAGTTGTCCTTTTCGGCGCATCTGTCTCCGAAATGTTCATTCGGGACAAGTACGGACGATCTGCGATGGGCAAACTGATTATTTCTGAAATCTCTTGGCCATTCCCCCAAGTGATTCTCTTCGGATGCTTCATGTCAACTGCTGGAGCAGGAATGCAATCTCTCACCGGAGCTCCACGTCTTCTTCAAGCTATTGCTGCTGATGATGTCATTCCATTCTTGAAGCCATTCAGAAAGATGGATTCTAGAGGGGAACCAATAAGAGCTATTCTCCTGACTTTGGCCATTTGCGAGTGCGGAATTTTGATTGCTGTCATTGAGAATATCACTGCTTTGATCACTCAGTAAGTTACCGCAACCATTAATATGTTAAATAGGGCTAGAGCACAAGTAAAAGAATACAAAAAATTCATGGGAACCTTGAAACTTTAAAAATTTCTTCAATTACTCCAGATTCTTCCTCATGTGTTACCTTGGAGTCAACGCCGCCTGCGCCCTCCAATCCCTCCTCAAATCACCCGGATGGCGTCCAGGATTCCGTTACTTCCACTGGGCTCTATCCATGATCGGAGCCATTCTCTGCGTAGCTGTTATGTTCATCTCTGCGTGGCACTTCGCTCTCATTGCCATCGTTATCGGAGCCGGAGTCTACAAGTATATTGAATATGCTGGAGCCGAGAAGGAATGGGGAGATGGACTTCGTGGATTGGGACTGTCAGCTGCTAGATTCGCTCTGCTGAATCTGGATGACAAACCACAACATTCAAGGAATTGGAGACCACAGCTTCTGGTTCTTGCTCCAGATGTTGAATCAGCCAATACCAATGGAATACTGTCGTTCGTGAGTCAACTGAAAGCCGGTAAAGGATTGACACTGGTTGCACATTGTATGGAAGGAGAATACGCGGATAATTATCTTCAAGCTCAAGCTGTTCAAGAGAAGTTGAAGGCAATGGTGAAGAAGAATAAGATCAAAGGATTCTGTGATGTTCTGGTCACATCAAATGTGATCGAAGGAATTTCATGTCTCGTACAGGTGATTGATCCCGTATGTTTGTGCAGTTCGCTTTCACCCTTTCTTCTGTTGCTTTTCGTGTGATCTTTGCTATTAAAAATCTACTTATAACGAATGTTTTCTAAAAAAGTACTTCCAAAACTAACTTCACTACCTTCACTTCCTTTTTCTTTTCACCTGGGATGCAAGCCCTGTATCACTATCACTACCACAATCACCCTTTAGCACTACTCACATATTCCTGTCCCATTCTTTAAGCTTTACCATTTCCAACTGATTTTTTTCAGACCTCCGGACTTGGTGGAATGCGTCACAACACCGTAGTCCTATCGTGGCCAGATGACTGGAGAGCCGACCAAGAATGGGCGGTTGCTAACAAATTCGTCTCGGCAATCAGAGCGATTTCCGCTGCTAAATGTGCTATTATGGTACCAAAGTATGCGGAGAAGTTCCCGGCAAATGGAACCAAAGTTTCTGGATACATTGATGTTTGGTAAGTTTTGGAAAGATCACTGTCAGTGGAAATAGTTGAAACAGTTTGAATAGTAATTGAAACAGTATTTGTATTCTTCTTTGATGTTTCTAATCGAAAAATTTCAGGTGGGTTGTGCACGATGGAGGTCTTCTGATGCTCCTTCCATTCCTTCTCCGCCAGCACAAGACCTGGAAGAACACAACGGTTCGCTTGTTCGCAATTGCTCAGATGGAAGATAACAATGTTCAAATGAAGACTGATTTGGAGAAATTCCTTTACCATCTGAGAATCGATGCAGCAGTCAATGTTATTGAGATGGTAAACTTTTTTTAACGGTTTCAGAATCATTTCATGATTTGAGACTTTTTGGGAATTCGATGTGTAGTTCTCCTCTACCTTCAAAAAACGAATTTTACAGACCGACTCCGATATTTCCGACTACACTTATGAGCGTACGATGAAAATGGAAGAGCGCAACCAGTATTTGAGAATCTGAACAAGTCGGATCGCGAGAAAGATATTCAGAATCACTTGGAAATCGTCACACGCGAACGAAAGCTTAGCAGAATTAATGAGGAAGCTGTAAGTTTAAGGATAAGATAAAAATAGTTTATTGGAGCTTTTTCAGCCAACTGTAATCCCAGAACAACGTAATTTGGAGGCAGTTACTGAGGAACAAGAGCAGGAAGAGCAAAAATCTGAGAAGAGTCTGGAAAAGTTGGAGCACAAAGGAGTACGGTTCTCAGATGATGAGGATGGCAAGGAAGTAAATTTTTGATTAGTTTTATCGGTTTCAAAAGCATCGTAATAGAACTTTTAGTTAGATTGATGTACTAGATACTTTGTGGATCGTGGTTTATCAGTCGTAATCATTTTTGTTTCAGGTCAAAGTCGGCAATGGAACAATGGAGCGGGACCGTGAGGAAAGACAACGAAAGAGACGATACAACGTGCACAAAATGCATACGGCTGTGAAATTGAACGAGATGATGAGACAGAAATCCAGCGATGCTCAATTGGTCTTCATCAATCTTCCAGGACCGCCAGACGCTGATTCGGATTCTTACTGTAAGTTTTAGTTATTGGGGAAGGAGGGGAACAATAAGTATAATACACTAATCTTGATAATAAAATCTGAAATATTAGTTGAAAATATTAAAAACATTGGTATGCCATAAATGGTCTAATACATAGAACTATGATAGAAGTTCGCCCTATACGAGAACTTTGAGCTCAGTTATCTCGGTTCCTATGAGTGATATCAACATTTTGTAAACTCATGAAATATTGGTAATTTTATAAAAAGCATTTTATCAGTTGAACATTTTTCATATCTTTTAAAAGAACCGAGATAATTGACCTTAAAGTGGATGTATAGGGCGAGATTCTATTCGATCACGTAGCTGAAGAAAAATTGATCTGCCTGAAAGCGACCGGAGTTTTTTGCTGATTTTGAAATTTATTTATCCCCATAAATTCAGAACAGAGGTTTCTGTTTCAAACTCTAAGTGAATAATCATAGCCAATTCTTTTAATTACTAGATAATTCGTATAAAGACCTTCCATTCGGTCGGGAAATTTAGCCGACCACCGACTCCGCCGACCGACAGCCGACAGAGCTTAGCGATCGGTCGGCGCGCCGACCGTTTTCTGGCATTTCCGCATCGATGTGTTTGTATACGTAAAATGTAATGCTGCGTACGCAAAAATTCGTAATTTGATGCGCAAATGCACGAAATCGGTCGACTGTCGGTCGGCTGGATCGGTGGTCGGTCTGCGGTCAGCGATTTTTCGACCGACCGAGATATAAGCCTTAATTCATAATACCTAATTTTACAGACATGGACTTCATCGACGCTCTCACTGAAGGTCTGGATCGTGTCCTACTGGTACGTGGAACTGGAGCTGAAGTCGTCACAATCTATTCTTAACTTCTTCTTCTCCATTTTCTCTCACAAACTTTTCAATATATAGGTTCCATTTTTCACTGGTCCCCCATATCTTTTTTCTTTTCTTTTTTTTTAAATCTTCCCAGTTTTTTTCCTATCAATATCACTCAATTTTAACCACCCTCCACACAACTCAACCATCTCATTTTTCTTTCGTCTCGTATAAAAAAAACAAAGAATCCCATTGTTTTCTTCTCCCTGTCCTTCCCCCCCCCCCTCCACAATCAACGAGTCACAGTCACATTTAGAGTTTTTGACACTTATTATTTGTTCTTCTAGAATTTTCATTCAGTTTCATATTTTTTGGTTTTCCCTCCTCCTCCCCTTTAATCAATTTTCTTCACCTCTCTGTGCATCATTTTTTTGTCCTTCTGTAATTATCACTTTCATCTTGTCTTTTCCGTTTTTCTTCCCCCATCCCGATTTGCATGACATCGAATTTTGCAAACAAATTTCGATACACTCAATTTTCGGTTTCGATTTGTAAAATAAGTTGCCACATACACAAAAGAAATGAAATTTTTTGTTTTGCCGCTGGTTGATACAAGATTAGGGGTTCATCATAAATACAGCACTGGAAAACAGAAAACACTAATCACAAAAACTTGAAACTGTATTATTTTGAAATTCTAATATGTTCAACTTCAAAATTGAGAACCAATAAAGATTGGGAATCATGAGAAGCGTAACTTTTGACAATGAATATTTTAGGCCACCACTGCAGATGGCCTAAAAATGGCCTAACATTTCAAAGATGTGTTTCCTAAGCCATTTATCATGGTGGACTAATTTTCTTAAAATGAATTTTTAGGCCATCGTAACTATGGCTGAGAAATGTCTTCATATTCACCTGGTGTGTTTCCAAAGCTACTTTGCAATTTGAGTTTTTCAGGCCACCATGGTAAATGATCTGGAATATCCGAACATTTCTAGGCATAGTGATAAAAACCACGATTAGTTAATGCAAAAAGAAGGAAACACCAATCACAAATCTTGAAACTTTATTATTTGGAAATTTTATCATGTCCAATTTGTTAACATCAAAAAGAATCCTGATTTTCTAGTTTTCAGTATTATTCGAGTATAACTGAAGCCTTTATTTCATTACGATTCTAGAAAAAGAGATCAATAGAATATCATAACTCATAATTATTCCTTCTTGCTTTTTGCTTCTGAGCATCTGGATCCGAAGCATCTTCTAACTGCACATTTCAAAACTCTATAGGATATGTAAGATGATGTAACGGAAATCAGTGCAATTATAGCAATGATATCCAAAAAGAAGTACTGAACGAAGGACTGATGCCTTCCGTAGTTGTCCAGAGATGGAAGCTTTCCGAATCTGAAACATCAATTTTTATTTCCGCAATCCAGCTAAAATGACTGATTACCTTGCAGCAAACTCCACATATTTCACCAGCGTCTCCTTTGGATTTGTTGGCTGATTACGTAAAATTTCAGCGAGGCGGTTTGCGTTTTGTTGGTAGCTGAAAAAATTACTGTTTCTTTGAGTTTATGATATCCTCGGAAAATGACAGCAAATTTTGATTTCGAGTCATGAGACGGTGCTCATTCTTGCTGAAGGATTAAAGGACGTCCAGTAAAGTGCTGTGAGCCAGTGTTGAGTGGGCAAGAAATTATCTTTCAGAAAGTCTTTTGGTAGACCTGCGTGTTGATTTACACATTACTATCAACGAAACACCGATTGACGTAATTCAACCCCAATCCATGACACTTTCAAGGAAAGCTAAACGATGTTTTAGAGTAGTCTTATTTTTATGGTCTTTGGTTTTGACAGAAAGGTTCAATAGAGAAATTCTGCTCGCAACCTTCGATAGACCTCAGAACTTCACATTGCTATCAATGAAAACCAATGGAGTTTTACTGGTTTCTGTGATCCCACCCAATGATATCCACAGTGTAAATGTGCAAGTTAAAAAGAAAATTTTGGCACCGTGTTAAGAAGCGCTCAGAAAACGACCTATGAATGTCGGTCTCCCTGTGTTTCAGTCTCTGTTAAATATGAGCAGTTTCTTACCTAGAATTTCCTATAACGTTTTCTATAACCCTTCGCAACTTTTCCGGGTTCGCCAAATCGGTCTTGCTTAAAACCACCGCAACCCCATGTCTCTTCAACATTTCAGCATTCCTTGTCTGGTCAGCAGCGACCGGAATCTGGAAATTCGCAATATTATTGATTTTTCTAGAAAACTCTCAAGTACCATGATCGCTGGCTTACCCAGCATTGCTAACTCAAAAACACTCGCAAGTCCTCCATGAGTAATAAACACTGTCAATCGAGGATCAGCGAGAAGTTCATTCTGTTGGAGCCACGATGAGAGATAGACATTATCAAGATGTTTTGTGAATGTGTCTTCTGGATTCTCATACTTCCAGATAAAAGTGGTATCCGGCATTGATTGGAATACTTCCAGGAGGGATAGTCTATAAATTATCGAAATATTGTTAGAAAATTAATACTGTTTTTAATCGGGGTATAAATCATCTTCACGAAGCAGAAATGTATGATATGACAAAGCAATAATTTGCTCGAAATTTTGTTCATGTACACCCCTCGAGGAGTTTACATCCCACAGTTGGAGATGTCGCGCCGCTACCGACTGAAACACACGGGCGGGACTAAAATGAGCACGATAGCTGTATGCCGAGTTAACACCGAGCATTGTACAGAGTCACGTCAGAATGCACACCCCAGCTTAAAGGAGGCGAGACAGCAAAAATTTCGGGGAACAGTTCGGGGGACGAAATCGCGCCGCGCTTATGTAGACCATCGGTCGTCAGGCGCCTTCGCGCCCGCGTAGCTCAGCTGGTAGCGGGATGTACCCCTGAGCGGCCTGTCATGAGTTCAACCCCTCATGGGGGTTCTCTATGCAAAATATCAGGAAAACTTTTTTTTTGGTCTCTGGCCTCCTTTAAAAAAAACTCCGAAAAATCTCATGTCCCATCTCCTTTAAAGGTGGGGGGACATGAAAAAAAATAATGTTCTCGAAATTCCGTTCAAAGATGCCCCTCGAGGAGTTGAACTTGTGAGGACGATGATTGAGGGTGCGGCGCCGCTACCGACTGAGCCACGTGGGCAAAGAGAAAGCGCACGCCCGATATCATACATAAAGACGAGGACTACAGCTGTACGCAGAGTGACATTAAGCGTTGTACACGGTGACGGTAGAATGCATACTCTAGCTACAAAAAAAACTACGAAAAATTTCCTGTCCCCCACCTTTAACTCACTTGTATTCCATTGGCATTTCATCCGATCTGGCGTTCGATCCAAATGAAATGAGCACATTTTTCTTTCTCAAACCCAAAATTTTGCTCCATTTCTCTTCTAACACCAAAACCTTCTTATCAGTTTGCACTGATAATCCTCCAATTGGAATCATTTTGTCAAAAGTTGGAGATGGAAAATCCAAAACGGGAATTTGATTGGTAAAAATAAATGTGGCTTCTGGGAGCACTTCCTGAAAAGTAATACTGAATTTCGACCAATGTCTCATACGACGTACCCTCCAAGACCGAATATTCGGATAAAATTGCTTTGCAGCTGCATAATCGTAATCTCCAATCAATGAAAATTTATAGGATGTTGCCTTGAATTGAAGAAAATTCCAGAATCTTTCCCAAATTGTCATTTTGTCTCCGAAAGTGGATAACATCCCGGGTACATAACTATATGGAACTGGTTGTCCGATGACTTCACTAACATGATCCAAACGACTACAGGAGTAAACAGCCACGTGGGCTCGGATGTTTATAGCTTCGAAGAATGCTGAAGGAAATGGGAATCTCGGTGAATTCTTCAGTAAGTCATTTCTTACCATAAGCACATGTATCAAAAGGCTCCGTTATAGCTAAATCGAAATTCTTATTTCTTATCTGCTCTATAAGATTCTTCTCGGACATCACCTTCCGACAGTGATTACTAAAAATTGTCGCCAAATCTCCAGCTTTCTGAAATAAAATGGTATTGCGAAAAACCTGCATTGAAAGGGTCTTTCTATTTTTCAAGAACCGCTCGGAAGGTCCTTTTATGAAAGGGATCATGTACTCAAGGTGCCGGTTTTATGGAAACTTTTTCTAATGCAGGTTTTAAGTTAATTTTTTTCCTTTTGTCAAAACTGAACCTTTACTAAATTGAAAGGATGCGAATTTGTCGATGTCCAAACTCCAACAAAACGCTTGCTCCTTTGTTGCATTTGCTGTTTTAATTGTTCATTTTGCTCCACAAATATCACATTTTTTGTACGTTTCAAGCAGGTATCATTCAAGAATTGCCTCTCGATAATTGGCATTAGAACAGTCTAAAACGAAAAAAATATGATTTTTTTTCTCATAAAGAAAATGCTCACCACATTATGTCCCGCATCTGTCAACGCATCAGCTACCGTACCCATAATTTTGACATGACTGTGCCCGAATAAATTTGTATACACTAGAATTTTGTATGCCTCGGAACTAATTGGACAGTTCAAAAATACCAGAAAAGTAATGATTAATGAGTGATGCATTGAAAATAGATGACTCTAACAAAAAAGTTTTGAAATACAAAAATCGTTGCCTTTAAATAAAAGACTTCCCACACAACATACAAAGTTCAGGGACAATGAGACGCAGACAACCAAAGAAAATTGACCAAATTAACGAATTGTTATCAGTAGAAAAGTGCACGAAGACGATCAGAGTAGCAATATTTGATCTTTTCAAAAATTAAATTTGGTGAATTGCTTTGGATAACAGAGCAACAATTTTGTAATGTATGTGAAACAGAACTAATTTTCTTAAACAAAGTGTTTTCTTGCATTTAGCACTTCAGAAAAATAAAAAATAAAAAATAATTTAGCTTTCTGATTGTACCAACAGTTATCAATGATGTTTGGATTTTTATTTGATTGCGAAAACAGAATTGATATTGTGAAAACAGAATTGAAATATCGGAAGAGCAACTTTGATACATAAACAGTTTGATACAGTAATACAATTTAATATAAAATTCAGGAAATTTCTAGGCCACTTCCATCGAGTCCACTTCCTTCGTCATTGACTAGTTCCTGGGGAAAAAGAGACTTCATTACTTCCTTTCTTGAAGAGACCTTGTAGATCAATGAGTGCCCTTTTCCATCGGATCTGAAAATTTCCAACTTGAATTATCTTAAAAATAGAGACAAGTGCTCACTGAAACTGCCGTTCAACCATGAATTTGTCCCCGTCTCCAGTGAGAATGATCCCTTCGAATAATCCGTCAATGATGTCTCCGTCGACTGTAGAGTTGGGTTGATCTGAAAAATAAAGATACTTCCTGTTTCTTCAGGTGCTTAATACAGGGTGAGGAATAAATATAGCGCCGCTTTCAAGACAGTGTAAAAAGATCAAATCAAAAGATTTTTTTCTGAAATTCAACCGAAATGTTCATTAAGAGACAACAAAAAAGATAGCATCAACAGTTTTTGAGCCTTCCTTCCTTTGCTTTGATAACAGCTCGAAGTCTCTTCAAGAAGGAGTGTCCCATGCCGCGGTTAAGGATCTATTCAGGGCTTCCAAATTAGGATAATTTTTTGTGGAGACTTATTGGGTCCAATATTTTCATAACAAAAAGTTCATTGGAATGAGTACCGGACTGGAAGCTAGCCATCACTCCTTAGTGAGAAAACCCGGAAAATTGGCTTGGAACCACTGACAAGTGAGCTTTGCAGTATGTGCAGGCACTCCGTACTGTTAGAATGTCCCACTGCTGTTCAAAAGACGTGGTTGGGACTGTGGCAGCACCTCCGACTTCAAAATCCGCTCGGTGTAGAATTTTTGTCGGTCTTGGCTCCAAAATCGACAAAATTTTACCATTTCTGCACATCTCACCAAATACGGTCACCGTGACCGGGTGAGAAGTCATATTCAGGATTTTCAAAAGCCAACATGCACTATAATAATTGATAGCCACTATTCAATTGTTCTGACTGTTTTTGTTCACCTCAACAGTGAGCAACTTCATTTGTGAAAAACGGTCTTCAAGTGTGTGCCAAAGCTCGTGCCTCAAAGGAGATCTTTGGATTTTTTCAGTTGTAACCTCTCGTTACGGTCCGTTAGGAAAGCGCCTTTGTGGGTTCGATATGGAATCATATAGAGCTGGTTTTGGGGAATATTTCTCATTGATTTGGGGAACATTCTAAACTACGACGCCATTTTTTTCATGATTCTTTCGTGACTCCTACTGATTTTTTCTCTCACGGCTTTGACGACTTCAGGAGTCGTCCCAAACATCGGATGACCGTTTTTTCTTATACTCTTGAAAGTTCCCAACTTACTAAACCGAACGGATGTTTGATTGACCACTGATTTCCTGATACCAAGTTTTTTAGCGATCTCCAAAGTTCTCACCCCTTTTTCGCGCGCTCCATACTAGGAGTGTGGTGTGGATAAACAGTCACAATTACCTTCAAAGTTGGAATAATTGCCTGAAACTTTCAAAATTGTTTAGAACGAAATAATGAAGCAAAAAAATATTACTGTGTGCAAAGCAGACCTTTTCGCAGGCGCCAGAGCTTAAGCAAAGTTTAGGCGCTATAATTATTCCCCACCCTGTAGTTATTTAGTCTACAGATTAGTTGAGAACAGAATTACTCCGGAACAGTCACAGAAAAATCGTAAATGCAATTTCTGTCAGATATATCAAAAATATGGTGCCTAAAAATTTTTTGGTGGTATACATTTTATAAGTTGATTTTTTATAACTCTTAAAAGAACCGAGATAATTGAACTCAAAGTGCAAAGTGGCTATTAGACCATTCAAGGAAATGTGACCAAGCCCACTGGATCCGTCTTTTGAAAGATAAATTTGAGAAATCTTGATTTTCGAGCAAAAATAGGTTTTTTGGATAATATGATTTTCTCTCCCGACCCATTCAATTTTTTCGAAAACAAAATTTTCAAACTTTTTGATTATTACGATTGTCCGCAGTTATGACTAGAATATTCTAACATTGGCTCACCTTCCAACTTCCCTTGCCACGTGGTTCCCTCATCTGAAAACTGCGCCGTTTCCTCTGCAAACTCCTCCTTTATCAGACAGTTTCTCTGCAGACGAAGTGGAAAATCCATTCCATACGCATGAAAGTTGAAGTTCGCAGTTTCAGTACAACACTTTGTCAGAACCTCTTCGTCAATGTCATTGTTGAACGAAAATTCAACTGGGCGATAGTCCAATAACTCAAATTCGAAAGGGACGAATGAGGAAGCTAAAATTATTTTGGTAATTGAAAAATTTTGTGTTGAGAACAGCAAACCATTCTGGAAAACAGTGAGTAAAAGGGCAAAAAGAGAAGCAGAAGAATACATGACTGGACCAAGGAAACAGCAGTAATGGGGGAAAGGTGAAGGGCCTTCAAGGAAAGATGTCGGAATATGATAGGATGAAGGCCACGATGGACCATGTAAGACAATAGATGAAAGAGAAAAAGATGCAATTAAGAAATGGAGGACGGACCATTCGGATGGTTAGAGGTCGTCATGAGGAACTGTAAAACAGAAATTTTATGGTTGGAGGATAAGAAATGTTCGTATGAGTTGTTGAGTTGAACTTAGGTCTCGTCAGATTTTTGTGTTTTTTTCCTGTTGGCGCAAATACATTTCAATCAACACAAGTTGTTGTTGTGGTCCACAACAAACGCCATATTTTCCAATGGAGCTCTTTATCTAAACAAAATATTTTTTTGCAAAAAAGTTTCTGTTTCGTCTTGTTGGAAAGTAATTCGAAATCATAATAGAAACAATTTAAAAAAGAAATCCAGGAAACATCATTTATTTAACCGATTTTCATGTTATTTGACTATAATTTACACTCATTTATTTTTGGTATTCTATTTTTAAAGATTTTTTCAAGTTTCTATTAATTTTTTTGTTGTGTTCCCATTTTTAGTTTTGTTAATTTTTCTTTTTTTTTTAGTCAATACGTTTGTTAATCTGTTGCGAATTGACGAAGTATGCGGGACACAGCCGGAAGGACCAACTAGAACGACAAAGTCTCCGAATCCTAAACAGAGTTGCACGGACAATGAAACTTTTAGGACGGACAAAAATATTTCTCCCAGACAACGGATAGCGGATGACGGAAAACGGACACGGACAACGAACAGCCAAAAACGGATTTACAACGGACTGCGGACAAACTATGGACAACGGAGACCGAACAAAAACTCAATGCAACTCTGATCCCAAAGACATCCCAAGAAACAGTCAACGAAGAGGAAAAAGCGCGCAATGACAGCAAGAAAAAACCACACAAAAAAATCAAGTTCACGAAGTTTTGACAACACGATGTCGATTCCGTCTCTCTTGTCCTGTTGTACTCGAAATCTGAAAGAAAACTAATTTTTAGAAATTAAAAAAAAATTGTTACCTCATCGGAATTGCAGAAAAGTGTCTGAAGTTTCGTTTCTTCCTCCGATGTTACTGGTGACGTCGTCCTAAATTTATTCTACTGTAATAAGAGTAGTGATTTTTCAAATTACCCATGAGAAGGATTGTCAAAATTATTTCAAATTGCGTATTCTCATCATTTATCAAAAACTGAATACAGGAATTTTTTGTTTCAAAAAGCATTTTCAAAAAAGTGTGTCCTAAAACGAGTTTCGAAACTAGCGATTTTTTTTAAATATTCCCATTCTTTCCATTGATTGAAAAATCCCATTTGCTCACCTTGCATTGCGCTCCGCTCCTCCTGTTCTCTCGATACGAATCCGATCGATCCTCGAATCTGTCCCGCTCGCAAGATGTCCTCGAAGTCCGTGAAGTTGGTTTCAGAGACCAAGCAGCCACTGTAATTTGAATTTTGGAAATGAATGTATGCTGATTTTTTCTTATTTTTCTATATTCTACACTTTGACCACATTTTTTATCACTGGTTTCTTGAACAAGCAACTTTTCAGTTTTCTAATTTCCCGGAAAAAATTACCAATTCCCCATTTCTTCAACTTTCATTATACTTCGCTATCCGTGTTTTCTGGATTCGAATCCTTTCCAATTTGTCATGCAAGCTGTCCTTCTGGAAGTTGACTCCGCAAACCAAGCAGCTCCCTGGAATTTGAATGTTGGAAACTTTATACTGATATTCCCCTAATTTAAAAAAAATCCTAGAATTTGCCCTCCATCAGGAATACAGGATTTTCTAACAGTAGAAAATTTATAGACTTTGCCTATTCCCATTTCCATACCTTTCATTATACTCTGCTACTTCTGTCATCTTGCTTTGAATCCGTCCCATCCTGTGTCCTTGAAGCTGTCCACGAAGTCCTAGAAATCGTTACACTCTGGAGACCAAGAAGATCCTGCAAGATCCTGCAACTTGCACGTTGGAAACTTCGTACTGATTACCTCCAACTTCATTATCCTGAATTTTGCTACGATTTTTAGGATTCCACGGAGGCCTTCACGGATATCACAATAAATCGACTTTTGGAAAAAAGAGATCACGTGAAGTTCGATCTACAGCTATTGACTATGAGATACCCTTAACACTCAAACAAAATGCCCTTAAACACACTCTGAGCAAATATACCTTATTTCCTGTAAAAGATATCAAAAAGTATTCAACTGACAAAATTTTTATTTTGAAATCAAAAATATTTTATCAGTTGACACATTTTTAATATTATGCATAGGAACTGAGATAATTGAGCTTAAACTTAAAAGAGTAAGGAGGGATCTATCACAGGTTTTACGGTTTTACAAAATTTTAAGTCAGAATAAGGATATTTTTCAATCCTAATTTTGGTTAGATTTCATTGGAAACACTGTATACTTTCTTTTTGCTAATTTTCAATTCATGTTTTGTTTATTCTCGGAAACTGTTTAAATAGATCGGTTGTTGATTTGCCAGATGTTTCAAACTTGAATTCGATTTGCAGATGTTACAGGACAACTACACCCATTAGCTTTGGAAAAACGGAAAGCACTATTCACAAAACCTTGAAACTGTATTATTTTGAAATTTCAGTCTGTCTAACTTGTTCCTTTCAAAATTGAGAATTTTGAAATACAGGACCACATAAACTATTCAAACTTATTCAAATAGAACTGAAGTCTTTATTTATTCAAGCAAAATTCTAGAAAAAGAGATCAATGGAATATCATAACCCATACTTATTCCTCCTTGCTCTTGACTTCTGAGCATCTGGATCCGAAACATCTTCTAACTACACATTTCAAAATTCTATAAGAAATGTAAGACGATACAACTGCAATCAGTGCAATGATAGCAATGACATCCAAAAAGAAATACTGAATGAAGGACTGATGTCTACCGTAGTTGTCCAGGGATGGTAGCTTTCCGAATCTAGACACATCAATTTTTATTCCTGCAATTTAGTCAAAAGAATGTCTTACCTTGCAGCAAACTCCACATATTTCACCAGTGTCTCCTTTGGATTTGTTGGCTGATTGTTGAGCATCTCAGCCAACCTTTCTGCATTTTCACGGTATTTCGGATTGGCCAAAACGTCTTGGATGGTGTCTTGAACCAGTTTTGTGTTGGCGAGATCTGTTTTGGTCAGGACTGCAGCTCCTCCATGTCGTTTGAGCATTTGTGCGTTTCTGGATTGATCGGCAAATAGAGGAATCTGAAAATTAAATTTATTGTGATAAGGTCCCCTTCGAAAATCCCTCACCATAACCGCTGGAGTTCCCATCATTGACAACTCTGTAACTGATCCTAAGCCGCCATGAGTAATAAATACATTCAATCTTGGATCAGCCAGAAGTTCATTTTGTGGAAGCCAATCTCCAAGATACACATTCTCAACTCCCTCTGTGAACTTGTCAGTAAGATCCTCATACTTCCAAATGAAAGAAGTATCCGGCATGTTTCTGATGACTTGGAGAAGGGAATTTCTGAAAAATTCAAAAATATATTCGATTAGATTTCAGAAAACTCACTTGTATTCCAGTGGCATATCGAGAGATCTAGCGTTTGATCCAAAAGAAATGAAAACGTTATTCTTTCTCAAGCTCAAAATCTTATCCCATTTCTCTGGCAATTTCATGGCCTTCTTATCAGTTATCACAGACAACCCTCCCACTGGAACAATCTTATCAAATGTTGGTGCCGGGAAGTCCAAAAGGGGAATTTGATTAGTAAGAATGAAAGATGCTTCTGGAACGGTTTCTCTCCAGGTTCTCCATGTTGGATTGATTTCCTTTGCCATTGCGGCTTCTACATCACCAACGTAACTAAAGAAATAGGATCCACACATGTATTGGATGACATTCACGAATCGTTGAAGCATTGTCATTTTGTCTCCATTCGCAGAGAGAAGTCCTGGGTTGTAACTGGGAGCTGCTGGTTGTCCGATGACGTCACTGACATGGTCTAGACGACTGGAAGAGAGCACTGCCACGTGGGCGCGGATGTTGATGGCTTCGAAGAATGCTGGAAAATGTAAGATATGGGATAAATCTGAGAATATTTTGAGACGTTTTTCAATAATCGTATTTTAATCTTTTTAAAGTTTTAAACCAAGAGTGGGCGGAATGGATTTTTTCAGAAGTTTTTCAGAAGGCATTCCGAACTTTCCGAGTTTTTAAGGTTTGGAATTTTGAAATTTTGCAATTTTCCGAGGTTTCAAAAATTGGAATTTTATATTTTAAAATTTTCCGATTTCCGAAATTCCGGAATATTCAGAAGGTGAAAAAAAATCATGGAAAACTGTTATTTTTCAAGTACCGAATACCGTAACTTTAAAATTTGAGGTAGTTTATCTCGGTTCCTGTCAAAGATATGAAAAAGTTGTCAACTAGTTTATCATAATATCACAAAAATTTTATCAGTTGACACATTTTTTATATCTTGCAAAGGAGCCGAGAAAAAATAGCTCAAACCTGAAAGTTTGGCGCCCTTCTATTACAGGTTTAATGATAATCGGAAAAAATTAGTCACAAAATAATTTTCATCGGAAATATTCGGTTAGAAATTTCCAAGCTTATGGGGTCATTCACTAAAGAAGCAAATCAGCAAAATTGTTTCTCTGAATAACCTTATACATGTTGTTATCGAAAATAAAAAAAATCTTTTTGGTTCGAATAATAAACTTGAAACCGAAAAAAAATGCCAAAACCCAACTTACGATAAGCACAGGAATCGAATGGTTCCGTAACAGCCAAATCATAATTTTCTGCTTTCATTTTCTCAATCAACTCTGTATCAGTCAGCACCTTTTTACACTGTGAGCTGAAAATCTCTGCCATTTTTCCGACTCTCTGAAAGTCATATTAATTTTAGCTCTAACCAAAAAATTCCGATTTATACCTGAAGCAAGGTAATCGGGTTAGCTGCGTCTTGTTTCCACATATTCGATAACATTGATGTTCTAGCTTTCACGAATTCTTCGACTTGATCATTGGCATCGACGAAAATCACATTCTTGGTTGTCTTCAAAGAAGTGTTGAGAGTGGTATCAAACACTGGGATCAGTACGGTCTGAGAAAGATGAGTTACTGTAGTTCTCAGGAAAGTTAACCAACCACGTTATGTCCAGCATCTGTCAAAGTATCAGCTGCGGCGGCCAACATTTTCACATGACTGTGTCCGAAAAGATTCGAATAAAAAAGAATCTTGTACGAATTCACTGAACATATCGTTGCCAAAAGACACAAGACAGATAGTAACCTCATCTGAAATATTTTTAATTTTCAGTTAAAAAAAAGAAAAAAATGAACAGATCAATAGAAAGAAAATAAGAACCTGTAACTCGTTTCCATCTGATTCGATCTGCCATTTCCACTTTCCTATTTATACTTGGGTCACAAATATAACAAATTGTGCCCGAGTGATGCAAAGAGAGACTGTTTCGAAATATGGGAAGACGCAGGTTGAAAAAGAGAAGAGAAACAAAAGACGCAGATGGAAAAAGTATGCGATAAAGCAAAAAGGTTTGACGAGAGACTGATATGGTGGACACAAATGTGTCCGATGAGTTCATAGAACGAAACCGAGAAAAAAATCAAACAAACTAGAGCATAATAGTGGTCGGGCAGGCAGAGTATATTTGTTGTCTCTGTTGAGTTGTTGGAAACTTTTGAACCAAGTTTTCTAATATTTTAGGAAGTTCGTAATGGTTTTTGTTAGGGTTTGAGTGGCCAGGGATCTGAAAATTCTTTTAAAAATTGGTTCCAATCGATAAAATGTTTTTTAAAATTCTGTTTGTAGAGTCTTTAACATGTTTCTCAAAATTCACGAACTTGATGATACAAACCTGAAACTGTATTTTAATATTCTACAGAAATTGTTTCCCTCTGTCTTGCACACAATTGGACATAACGGCAGAATAACTTTATTGTAATAAGCTGTTTAATCGTATATAAGTTCGAAATTAAAATTCTTCCGATGGCTTAACATCTCTGACCTTCTCGGCGGTAACCTTACGGAAGTTCCTGCCCTTCTCTGAGATTGCAACTCTGTAAACGGCACGTTGTCCATTATCTTTCAGTAGACTGTTGGCTGCGGTGATAAGGTCGACTGGAAGTGATTCCTTGGGACGTTCGGATTCTCCAACCAAGATCTCGAGAGTAGTCCTGAATCCAGAGACAACTTGTCTCTGGGCTTTCAAGACCTGAAATAATCGAAATAGTGGTAAGTTTGAAGTTTATTGTTAATGGAACAGGCTTTGTCTATTTGTACCTAGATATTTCAGTCGAAATCAAGATAGCCAAGATCATTCTTCTTCCTAAAACTAACCTTGATTGGAACCACATAAAATTCTCCGTCGTTTTTTTCGTTGATTTCTGGAACTGTTTTCCATGCTTCGCACTGAACATTAATAGGCTACTTTTGAAAATCCGAGATTTCAACCTACAGTGTACAACGTCGCATTAAGATCAGAAACTCCACCAACCCACGGTCCAGCAGGACGGCTCATTGCAGGCCTAAATAGCGCATAGTCGGTGGAGACGCAGAGAAATATTTCGATTAACTGTCTGCGTCTCAACTCCAATTTTTTCTGACAACAATAATAGCAATGTACTTTATCAATTTGAAATTGAATTGTTGAACAATAGTTTGAAAAGACTATATAGACTATTTGAATCTGATTTTTAAATTCTATCAGCCCAGAAAAGTATATACCGTAAAAACTCTATTAGATAGCCACCCCTATTTGCCAACCTCTAATATAGTGCCAGCTTAGAGCACCTCCGAACAATAGAGTGCCCCCCCCCCTAATATAATTCCACTGAGGATTCGATGCCTCTGTGTTAAAAGTTAACAAATACCATAAAAATAATCATTTTCAGGTTTTCTATTGATTTTTTCAAGCTTGAAAGAAGTGCTGTATTTGTCAAAAATGTTTCAGGATAATACCAAAATCCGAAAGTCTCTAAAAAAGAAGTAGAAAAATCAAGAAAACCTCGAAATTCATTTTGTGAAAGAGTTGACAATCGAGTACTTTTGTAATAAGTTTCAGTAAAAATTGGCTGCGAACAATAAAGTGTCAGCCTCTAATTGAATGCCACCCCCTAATACAGTGCCACCCCAGACCACCTCTGAGCAATAGAGTGTCTCCATTTTTAGCCAATTCGTTACTGTTGTTGAAATTGCAAACACCGTAAAACCTGTAATAGAAGGGCCCCTAACTTTCAACTTTGAGCCAATATTTTTTGGTTTTGGTCAAAGATAGGAAAAAAGTTGTTTACTGATAAATTAGTTATCATAACATCAGAAGTATTTTG